ATCGTCATGATTTAAAATAATGAAAGCATTACTTTCAAATACCAAGGCCCGCATAGTTTGATATTTATTATGTTGTTTGTGAATAATGTTATTAAAACCAATGGGGCTCTGAGAGACTGTTACTAGAATCTAGCCCCTTATTTTGATACTTGTTTTCCCACACATAGCTTGGAAGGATCAGTTTTTTGTTTTTGAAAAGTTAAAATATTTTCACTGTCTCCCAGGAAAGTGTGGTCTCATTTTTGTGTTATTGCATTGTTCTGTTTAAAAGACTCTACTTTTTATTGTTTATTGTATTCTCTTAGAATGTGACAAAATAGTTTCTTTAGTAATTTTCTTCTCTACAGTTTACTAGCACAGTCTTGCTCTTCAAACAAAATAAATTTGCTTCTTATTTTTTTAACTACAGTACCAATATATTGTATTTACCTGAATCCAAGATGACCCTCAATTTAGGATACCCCCCCCCCAGTGAATATATGCTATTCATGGAAGATTTATAGATTTATAATTTCCAGATATAGAATCTAATTATTGGCAATTATTGGAAAAATTATCTTGAATTTGTCCCCTCCACTGCTGCAGCAGTGGAATTGGGGAGGGGAGGGTGGGACAGCTTGCCTCCTGTTACCTGTCCTCAAACTCCCCCCAGTTTCTTCCCCTTCACATTGAAGAAAACTTTCTGCCATTAGCCCAAATAATATTTCAGAAATTTTAATGAAGGCGTAATTTTTGGTTCTAGTAATCCTGATACAGTCTGCCTCAACAATTCATTTCTACTCTAAGTTTTATTCTTTATTCAGTCTTTAAACATGAATATTTCCCATAAGTACTTGAAAACCTATTTTTTGAAATGCATGGCAAGATCTCAAATAGTTAATTTGTCCCAAATATCAAAAACAATTTTTTTCTCTTAGACTGAGCCTTTATTTCCTTTTTCCTAGCATACTTGTGTTCCTGGCCCTGCTGCCCTCCCCTGGGCCCTTTGGAGCGCAGTGTGTGTGACCCAGGGCAGCAACGTACAGAGGGGTCACACAAGGAAGCTGCTTGCTGCTGCAAGCTCTGCGCTGCCCAGGTCACAGCTCCCCTGTGTGCACAGGAGCAGCATGAGTAGAATGCAGGGTTGTGCCCCTTGCTGCTCTCCCCACCTGCCAGGGGAAGCATTGCCTGGGCAGTGGGGAACTCAGAGTAGCAGCCAGCTTTCTGTGCCCCCCACTGTGTGCTGCCACACTGGGTTCCACATGCTGCTCTGCAGAAGCAGCGAGAAGGGCAGCACAGTGGGGAGCATCACTGGCATCTGCTGTCTCCGCAGAGCCTAGGGCTGGGGCTGGGGCTGGGGCTGTGAGGC